TGATGGCCTTAATTAGTGCCTTGTTCTCTGAAGCTATTTTGTATTTATTTTGGGCATATTTGGAGTTCACTTACCTGTACACTTGTTTCCCCCAGTAGAATGTAAGTTATTTCAGAATAGAGATTGTCTCGTTATTGTATGTTGCTCCAGAGCTTAGCAGTGTCTGTCACTTAGTAGACAGACAGATAGATAGAGCATTTATTAAGTGCTTACTGTGTACTAGCTACTTTACTAAGCACTGAGAATATAAATACAAGCAAAAAAAGACAATACCCTCAAGGAGCTTCCATTCTAATGTGAGAAGACAAGACATAAAAGGGAGTTAGAAAGCAGAGAAGGGCATCCACTGGGGCTGAGTACAAGGATTCTGCAAAGGATATAGAAAAGTTTTGAATCAGGAGTAGAGCTAGTCATGAAATGGTAGTCCAGGCTGGTACTCATTAATCAGAGTTGAGGGTCACAGTAGTGGAAGAAAAGTCTGGAGAATCAAAATAGAGTGGAAGTGAAGTGAGCATGGATGGTCTGGTGAAGTTAGATGAAGTCCATATTTGTCGAACTAAACTGAATTGAATCCAATGTTCCAGAAATGCAGAACTTGGAGGTCTGATCTGTTGTTGACAGCACCAAGAACAATTTTTTAGAAGAGGATAGATGATATCATTTTCTATAGTCATGAATTCAATTGAGTCTACTGTGTGTAATGCAGTGGTTGAGCTCCCGAACTTGAGTGTTTTCATACTTAAGTATCATAGATCTTAGATCTAAAAAGGATCTAAAGAGGTCATTTGGTCCAGCTCCCTCATTCTGCAGATGAGGAAACTGAGGCTCAGAGAGATTAAGGAACTTGCACAAGTAGTAAGAAGCAGAGTCTTAATTCAAAGGGTCACTGAGTCCCAGTTCAGTCTATCACAGTGGCATTTTATTATTGTAGATATACCCTCCACTGATGTAGATTGCAATCCCTTCAGCCTCAGTGTTGAAGAGTTATTATGGCTGGAAAAAAAATCATCCCAGTGTGACCAACATGGTGAACTTCTCCCCAAATTATCTAGGCTGCTCCTCACACAACATTTTGGGCCTATTCTTACAGCCTCCAGTTTTGGAGGACCTGGCAGGGCTTGTGATCTCCTGACAAGGCCTTCAAGCACCCATTTTCCTTCTCTGCGCTGTGATGAGACATCAGAAGAGAGCCTTCTTTGGGAATGTGACAGAGATAGGAATATAATGTCAGTAGCTGACACTAAGATAGCATTTTAAGATTTTGTACAAGTATGCAAATAATTAAATGGTAAGTGTCATAAAGGGGGAAGTTAGGTGTTTCAATTAGCTGAGCCTGGAGTCAGGACAACCTGGGTTCAAATCTGGCCTCAAACATTTACTAGCTGTGTGACCCTGGGCAAATCACGTAACCCTGTTTGCCTTCAGTTTCCTCAACTGTAAAATGAACTGGAAAAGGAAATGACAAACCACCCGAGTATCTTTGCCAAAATACAAAAACCAAAAAACTCAAATGGGGTCACAACTAGTTAGACAGGACTGAAAAACAACAACAAGGTGTCATAAAAGAGCTAAGGAAGCTGGATGCGACGTGGATTCTATGGAAAGTTCTCAGGTCAGAGGATGATTCATTCATTTGTTTGTTTGCATATTCATTGGATGGTTACTGTATGTCGACCCTGTGCTAGTGAGTGTGTGTGTGTGTGTGTGTGTGTGTGTGTGTGAGAGAGAGAGAGAGAGAGAGAGAGAAAGAGAGGAGGGATCTAAAGAATAAATTATAGCGCTTATAGGGCTTGCCCTCAGTAAGTTTATTGCTTTAACCAAGGAGCATGGGAATGAACAGCATATTAGTAAATAGTAATGACATAGTCATACAATAAGTAGTGAAGAGATGCCAAATTAACAAAGGGATCAAAGAGAAGAGTGGTGGCAGATCAGACACCCTATGGTATCTCTTTGCTAATTGAAAAAAGACTATAAGCCCCTGGTGCTCATCAGGGAAAGCTTCCTGGAGGAAGGGAATTTGGAGTGAGGCCTTGAAAGAAGTGATAAACAGGAAATTTGAGGAGAAAAAGGTTTTTGCTCAAAGAGAAAAAGAGGTGGAGTAAGCTCACCTGGCTGGAGAGAATGACGACAGTTTAGGGAGACAGACAAAAGGGTGGCTGATGGAGACTAGATAGTAGAATCAATACTCTTGGGGTATCAAGTGAGAGGGAAATTGGTAAAAACTGTCCCTAAACCTGGACAAAGCTAGGCTGTGATCAAGCTAATCCATTCCTTTGGGTCAAGTATTGCCACATGCAGGTTCCTCTTTTAAAATGCAAGTTTCCACGGAAAGGGGACACATATTAAGCCCCTGTTATATGCAAAGTACTATACGGGTACTGGGGACATAAAGACAGAACAAACAAAGAAAACCAATCTCTGCTCTCAAGGAGCTCACTGTCTAGAAGGGTGTGTGTGTGTGTGTGTGTGTGTGTGTGTGTGTATAATATATACACAGGTATGTAAATTCAAAATAATGCAAAGTAATTTCAAGAGGGTGAGAACACATTATGCCCAAAGAGCTATAAAACTTCCTACCCTTTGATCCAGCAATACTGCTACTAGGCCTGTATCCCAAAGAGATCAAAGAAAAAGGAAAAGAACCCATATGCACAAAAAATATTCATTATAGCTCTTTTTGGTAGTGAGAAAGAATTGGAAACTGAGGGGATGCCCATCAAATGGGGATTGGCTCAACAAGTTGTAGCATATGATTGTGATGGAGTACTATTGTGCTATAAAGAAACGATGAGGTGGATGGTTTCAGAAAAACTTGGGAAGACATATGAATTGATGCAGAGTGAAGTGAACAGAGCCAGGAAATCATTGCATACAGTAGCAGCAATACCGTAATGATCAACTGTGAAAGATTTAGCTACTCTAACTAATACAATGATCCAAGACAATTTCATGATGAAAAATTCTATCCACCTCCAGAGAGAGAACTGATGAATTCTGAATGCAAATTAAATAATATTGTTTTTCACTTTATTTTCCTGGATTTTTTTTATAACATAGCTAATATAGAAATTGGTTTTGCATGACTTTACATATTAAATGGGTATCCTATTGCTTGCCTTCTCAATTGGTAGAGGAGGGGTTGGAAAGAGGGAGAGTTGGAACTCAAAATAAACAAAAATGAATGTTAAAAAATAAACTTAAAGGAAAAAAAGAGGGAGACAACACTAACAACTGGGAAGATCAGAAAATGTTTCATGTAGGAGGTAGTATCTAAGCTGTGTTTTAAATGAAGCTAGGGATTCTAAGTGGTGGTGATTGATGAGTACCTTACACATATGTTCAGTTAAACATTGTATACAGAACTTCTAGCAGGCTTTTTGGTCAGAATAGACTATACTGAAGGAAGTGGTTTGAAGTAAGACCAAAAAAGTAGATGGGAACCATATTGTATAGGGGTTTAAAGAGCAGACTTTATATTTCATCCTAGAGGTGATATGAAGCCACTGAAGATGTTTGTGTGGGGGAGGAATGGTTAGATCTGTGTTTCAAGAATATTAATTTGGTGTCTGTGTGGTCTGATGGATGGGCAAGGGAAAAGACTAGAAGTATGACCCAGCCTTGGGTCATTAAACCCCAAATGACTCAGAGAAATGGAGTTTATTCTGTAATCATAGCACCTTAGAGTTGGAAGAAACCTTAGGACAACTTCCTACCCACAGCAGGAATTTCTGACAGATGCTTTTCTCCTGGTGGGAAGCAACTACTACAGTATGAAGATACTGGGTACCCCAAGAGAAGGAGAAAAGAGAAGAATGAGGATTGTGGACAGAGAAAAGGGAGGTTATACCACATGTGCTAAATTACAGGGGTCTGGTTGCCCCTGTTCTTGCTAAAAGGTAATTTCAGAATTTGTTACAACCACCCAGGCATCCTAAACATTTTGGCTATACCAAACGCCTTGTCAGTCTCAACACACAGAAGACCAAAAAATTCAGTCCCAGCAGCCCAGCTGAGGTGGCGGGAGGGAACCTGCAGATGGAGAGAAAAGCAGGCTGATTTATGGGTTAGCTAGAGGGAAGGGAAGGAGGAGGGGTATTGGCTGCTGGTTCAAGGAAAGAGTCCAACACCACATTTCAAATGTGCATTTAGAAGCACATTTCCATTCTGCCGGCTTGCAAAACCTCTCCAAGCACTAGCTCATATTTTAGAGAGAGTAATCACAGGGACAACTTAGCATGCTGTGGTGGGGCTTGATTTCAAGCCGATTACTACCACCTATGTCACAACCACTTTCCTTTATCTCTTTACCTGGCACAAGGGGAGTGCAGTACTGTATTCGGGGCTACCTTTGGCACAGGCCCCGAGAAAGGCAATAAGATCCCATGGTTTATTCCCACCCTAATTTCCAACCTAATCTTCTACCTACTCCCCTTCACGTATTGTGTATTTTAGTCAGGCCTACCTCCTCTTGGTACCCAGAATGTGACATTCATATTCCCATTTCTGCATATTTGCTCCTGATGTTTGCTCCAGCTGAAATCTAAAGCCTGCCCATCCTTCAGAGTTCAGCTTGCCCAGGCTCCTCCATGAAACTTTCCCTAATAGCTCTAGCCCACAGGGATTTGTCCTTTCTCTGGAATCCAATAGCATTTATTGTCTGTAGCATATGATTTGACCTTTACTTATTCCCTGTTTCACGCATATTAGTTTTGTTTCCCCCAGGAGATTATAAACTCTGAGAGGGTAGTGACCTTGCTGTCTCCTTCTCTTGCATCTCCCACAGCTCCTGGTACAGTAGATGCTCAATAAATGCTCACTGATTGATTAAATTAATGATTGATATGTTTGGGGACAGGAAGACCTTGGTAACTGTAAAAGAAAGAAAAAAAGACTCGCACATCATAGGCCTATTCTACCTATTCATAAAAGACCGTTCTGGGCCAAAGGCACTTTGGTGATGACCCATGACCACTAGCAATCCAATTCCACAGTGAAACTTTCATGGTTCTATTCATTTATTCCTCAGTGCCCAGTCCCTGAGCAGAGAGAAGCAAAAGCTGTGCCCAATGGCAATAGATTCTGAAAGAGGTAGCTCCAAGTACTCCATTGAATATCTCTGGATTCTTTCATCATCTTCCCTTTCTTTAGGGCACATTGCAGAAGAGGCATTTCAGTGTTACGGGATCTTTAATTTCAAATATCTCTGTTCTGCAAGACTTGGAGTAAATCAGGAATCTGGAGGAGCAAGAAAGGAGGAGAATGAACTGATGTCAGATACAATATAAAATAAGCATTAAAAAGAGTTTGTTGGTAAAATATTTATGAGTCTAGATAGAAAAGTAGCCATGTTGTGGTAGAAAGCACAATAGATTCTCTGTCAGAAGACCTAGATTTGAATCCTGGCTCTGCCATGTCTTAGCTCTGTGGCCTTGGGCAAATCATTTAACATTTCTGAGCTTCAGTTTCCTAATCTATAAGATGACACCGAGTCTTAAAGTCAGGAAAAGGTGAGTTGAAGGCCCGCTTCTAACTCATTCTAGCTATGTAACTGTGGACCGCTTAGAGTCCCAGAAAACTCTCTAGGATTTAAGTTACAGGTAAGCTGTTGATCTGTATCATTGCTTTCCCACAGAGACACCTCATGCTAATGAAACTATATGTTTAAACCATGTAAAAATATTTTCATAACAAATAAAGATACTGGTCTCTGTATAGGAACAAGGCGGCTAGGTGGCAAAGTGACAGGGCACTGGGCTTGGAAGGAGGAAGACACATCTTCCTGAGTTCAAATCCGGCCTCAGACACTTATTAGCTGTATGACCCTGGACAAGTCTCTTAACCCTGTTTGCCTTAGTTCCCTCATTTATAAAATGAGTTGGAAAAGGAAATGGCAAAGCAACTCCAGTATCTTTGCCACGGAAACCCCAAAAAGGGTCACGAAGAGTTGGACGTCACTGAAACTACTGGAGAACAACCACAAATATATAGGAACATTGTACTGAAATGGTTTGTATAATAATAACAACGATGATGGCTTAAATTGTATATGTAGCTCATGGTACAACCAGGTCTGGATCCTTCACAGATTGGGGTTCAAGTTATGGGGGATTCTCATTGGTAAATCTGGCTTGTTTTGCTTCTTCTCAATTAAGAACTTTTTTTTTTTTTTGGTGAGGCAGTTGGGGGTTAAATGACTTGCTCAGGGTGATACAGCTAGTAAGTGTCGAGTGTCTGAGACTGGATTTGAACTCAGGTTCTCCTGACTCCAGGGCCAGTACTCTATCCACTGTACCACCTAGCTGCCCCCACAATTAAGAACTTCTGAAGTTAACTTAGATCTAGGTATTCAGTTGCTAGCTATGCTAATAAAACAGTCTTAAAGCTGTATAAACACTTAGCCAAGAGAGAAATGAATAGTAAAGCAACCAAAAAGATCTTAATCACATTGCGCTATTAGAACAATTTCATTCCCTTTCCTTCAAGAGCAATCTGCAACACAAACTCCTCCAAAGCTCGTGACTCTGATGAGGAAGGCACAGGTACAGGGTCCCTCTTGAGCCAGAGCATCCTGCTGGATGGATCCTAGGGACTGGAGACTTCACTGAAGGGGCAAGTCTATGTCACCCCAACATTTGCTCCCTTGCTATCATTTCTACATGTGGCTAATCTGGAATCCATCTCTTTCTAGGCTTACATTGAGCATGACTCTACTCTAGGCATTACATACTGAACAGAGCTTTTTATTACTCCTACATCTTTCCTACAGTCCACTTTCATCAACCAACAGCTCTGTTGTAGGCATACAGCCACATGTGAAATGGAGTTTTGCTTTCTTCTAATGAGCATTAAATATTCTGGGACTCAACACATTCTGGTAAATGTAATCTTTTTCCACCTTGGCCATGCCTGGTATGTACAACTTTAACTTAAAAATTGTTTTTCTTAAATTTTTTTTGACATTCATTGTTTGAAATTTTGAATTTTGAATTCTCTTCCTTTACCCATTGAGATGGCAAGCAATATGAAATCCATTATAGATATGACAACTTTAACTTTTCCAAGTACTTTCCTGTCCATGATCCCTTTTGATCTTCAAAACACGCCTTTAAGGTAGGAATGTCATGTATTTTCATCCATGCTTGACAGATGAGGAAACAGAGACTCAAAAAGGTTAAATGATTTGCCCAAGGTAACTTAGTTAATTAGTTTCAGTGCTGCTGTAGAATTCAGGTCTCCTGGCACTGAGGAATGAGCAAACCTTACCACAAATGCAATATGAACTCCCTTTCTTTTTGTTCAAGTTTCAGTAATGTTAGTAGCTCTGAGGACCTCTTAGGGGACAAAAACACTAGGGTACCTCATGGAAGCATAAAATAATGAAAGGAAAGGAAAAATACCTGTACCTGTATAGTGTTATTTAATAAGTTCTTTTTGTTTTTTTTATTCACATTCTTGAATATTTTTTTGAAAATTCCCTCCTTCCCTCTAGCCCCTTAGCCATCCATTGAGAAGGCAAGCAATATATCAGTTATACATGTGAAATCATGCAAAACATTTCCATATCAGCCATGTTGCAAAAAAAGTGAGAAAAATAAAGTGAAAAAATTATGCTTCAGTTTGCACTCAGTTCGTCAGCTGTCTCTCTCTGGAGGTGGATAGCATTTTTTTTTTTTTTTAGCATGAGTCCTTTGGAATTGTCTTGGATTATTGTATTGATAAGAGTAATTAAGGCTTTCACAGTTGATCGTCATTACAGTATTGCTATTACTGTGTACAATGATTTGCTGGTTCTGCTCACTTCACTCTGAATTAATTCATGTAAGTCTTTCCAGGTTTTCCTGAAACCATCCCCCTTGTCATTTCTTATAGCAAAATAGTATTCCATCACAATCACAGACCACAACTTCTTCAGCCATTACTCATCACTCAGGCATCCCCTCAATTTTCAATTTGTTACCACCACAAACAGAGCTGTTATATTTTTGTACATATAGGTCCTTTACCTTTTTTTAATCTCTTTGGGATACTTGCTGAGTCAAAGGACATACAATTTTGTAGCCCTTTGGCCATAGTTTCAAATTTTTCTCCAGAATAGTTGAGCTAGTTCATAATTCTAACAAAAGTGCATTAATGTCCTTGCTTTTCCATATTCCCTCCAGTTTTTGTCATTTTCCTCTTCTGTCTTGTTAGTCAATTTGACAGGTGTGAGGTGGTACCTCAGAGTTGTTTTAATTTGCATTTCTCTAATCAATAATGATTTAGAGCATTATTTCATATGAGTATAGATACCTTTGTTTTCTTTTTCTGAAAACTGTCTATTATGTCCTTTGACAGTTTATCAGTTAGACAACAGCTCTTATTTTTATAAATTTGACTCAGTTCCTTATGTATTTGAGAAATGAGGCCATTATTGCCCTTTTATATATTATTTAACTTTATACCAATAATTCCATTCCACTTCTCTCCCTTCCTCTAGTTTACTAATTTTACACATAAGTAAACTGAGGCACAGAAAATTGTAATGATTTGCCTAAGGTTAGAAAACTAATTAATGATGGAGCTGAGACTTGAACCCAGCATCTTTTGACTCCCAGACTACCGCTGTTTTTGTTCAGGTAGTATTCAACTTTTTGTGACTCCATTTGGGGCTTCCTTGGCAAAGACACTAGAGTGGTTCGCCATTTCCTTCTCCAGCTCATTTGACAAATGAGGAAACTGAGGCAAACAAAGTTAAGTGACTTGTCTAGGGTCACACAGCTAGTAAGTGTCTGAGGGCCAGATTTGAACTCAGGAAGATGAGTTTTTCTACCTCCAAGCCCAGCACTCAATTCATTGCACCATCTAGCTACCCCAACCCCTCCAACTATTGTACTATTTACTTAATGTACCTCAGTATGCATACTTTGGAGGGCTCGTTTCTGTTATTTTTCTATTTTTGTCATCCTTTCTCTAAATATTGACCCTTCTTCATTAGTAATCAGTGATTTGAGTGAAATCTCCAAAATTTGTCTTCTATGCCCCTAATCACCAAGTTCTGTGCCCTCTTCCCCACTCTTGAAACCCAATGAAGAAAGGATCTGATAAAATGATTCCATTAAGGACATAAGAAAGAGAAGAGTTGAAAGTGTGACCTGTTCCCCTCTCCTGGTCTTTGAAACAGAATATCTTGGATGATTGGAAAATATTTGGGAGACATTTGACTCTTCAGTGCTCTTGAAATTCCATCAACTAAGCAGGTGATTAATCCATTTCTGAGACAAACTGGTTCTGTCTGTTCTGGACCATATTGAAGTTTTTAGGATGTAAAGCTGGAATGACTCTTGGAGACTGTGTTGTTCAACTTCTTTCTTCCCCCCACCCCTTCATTTCATGGATGAGGCTGAGAGAACTAGGTGACTTGCTCAAAGTCACGCAGGAAATAAATAGTGGAGCTGGGAGTTCTGTTGTAGAAAAGCTCTTCAGACCTAGAGAATCAGTTTGCATCTTCCACAAATTTATCAGTGATAATGTCTTCTATAGCACAGACTCTTGACCAGAAATGTTAATGAGTAATTTTCTCTTTGTGATACTTTTATACTGGTTTTTGAGAACAGGAGAAAGATGGGCTTAATTCTTCAGAAATGGGTAAGGGACAGTGAAACATGACAAATGATTCTGGTGCAATTTCCAGACCATCCAGAACCTCTTCCCCGCCCCCCCCCCCACTCTTGTTAAATTTTATGAACTCATACAGAAGCCTTGCAATTCAGCAGTCCTGATCTACTCTACCCATAGGCAACTAGATGGCACAGTGGACAGAACACTGGGCTTGGAAGCAGGGAGACTCATCTTCATGAATTCAAATCTGGACTCAGACACTTACTAGCTGTGTGACCCTGGAAAAGTCACTTAACTTTGTTTGCCTCAGTTTCCTCATCTGTAAAATAAGCTGGAGAAGGAAATAGCAAACCACTCTAGTATCTTTGCCAAGAAAACACCAAATAGGGTCACAAAGAGTTGAACATGACTGAAATGACCAAGCAACAACCGTATGCATACCTTTGCTTAGTCTTTTTTTTATCTGAGGTCTGACTCTACAATCTTCAAATGCAGAACTATGATTCTGCTCTGGTTGCTCAGAGTGATCTTGAGTAGGGGACAAGGTGGGAGAAGAAAGGGGAGAAAAATAATTTTTCACAGATAATTACTTTCTTAGCAAAACCAGTGAACAAGGGAGGTAAAGGGGGAATCAAAGACAATGTCTGATGACTAGGAAGTTGGCAGATGGGATTTCAAATAGCTGAGACTGTTAGGTGAGTTCTGCTTATTGGCAGCAGCCATGTTAACCTGCTTAAACTTCTTTACCCTTAACTCTGGGCAAGCTTGGAAACGGGATGGATGAGATTCTAAAAATAAAACCACTGGTAGATGTCTGCAAGGAAAAATAAAAAAATGACAAGCACAAGTGACTCAGAGAAAGGAAAACCTTTTGGAGGTTGGTCTAGTTACTGAGCTTTTCTTACAGAGATTATATGGCATTATGGCTTTGGGGCTTTGTGTGTGTGTGTGTGTGTGTGTGTGTGTGTGTGTGTGTGTGTACACGAACACATGTGCATATACCATAAGAGTTAACAGAGCTTGTTGGATTTGGAATCAGAAGACTTTAGTTGGATTTCCAGATCTGCTGCTTATTGGGAAAGTGACTAGGGCAGCTAGGTGGCAAAGCAGACAGAGCACAGGGCCTAGAGTCAGGAAGGCCTGAGTTCAAATCTGGCTCAGATACTTACTAGCCTTGTGACCCTGGGCAAGTCATTTCACCCTGTTTGCCTCATTTTCTTCATCTGTAAAATGAACTGGAAAGAGCAATGGCAAATCACTCCAGTGGTTTTTTGCCAAGGAGACCCCAATGTGGTCACAAAGAGTTGGACAAGACTGAAAAAACTGAACAGTCCCACTTAGTGGGCCTCACTTCCCTATTCTGTAAAATGAGGGCACTGGGCTAGATGGTCTATTGATATTGTTGAGTTGTTTCTCAGTTATGTCCTATGCTTTGTGATCTCATTTGGGATTTTCTTGGCAAAGATACTAGAGTGGTCTGTCATTTCATTCTCAAGTTCCTTTTTCAGATAAGAAACTGAGGCAAACAGGGTTAAATGACTTATCCACAGTCACACAACTAGTAAATGTCTGAGGACAGATTTAAACTCAGAAAGATGAGTCTACCTTACTCCAGGCCTGACTCTGTATCTGATTGCCACTTAGCTGCCCAATCATTCTGAACTTTAAAGTTTTTGAAAAATCTAAATATTATTTCTCATAATCTACTGAACAACCAGAACTGATTCTCAGTGAAACTGTGTGAAGTTGGCAAAGTTTGTCTTTGGTGCCCCCAACCTCCTCTTTTCTGTGTTCATTCATCATGAAGGGTGCCCCCTCCAGTCCACAGGTGTCTAGGGCCTGTATGCACTGCTCCTCTTTTTAGAGCTTCATTCACTCTCAAATAGCAAGTCATGAAAGCAAGGCAGAGTAGGACCCCTTCCAGAGTTATTTGTAGTAGGACAAAAGCTTTCTAAACAAATGAGATGAAACCCTGATAATGAAATTCCAGGCATCAGTTAGTGCATAAGGGAAGGGGGTGGGACATGTCTAAGGCCTTCCCTAAGGTTCCCGAAAACCCCTACAAGGCTTGCACGGGGATGGGGGATGAGGCAGGCATGAGGTAGTTCAATGACATTACTGGAAAACAAAAATGGAAGTCAAGTCAACAAACCTTTATTAAGTGCCTACTATGTGTCAAGTACTGTGCTTACTGCTGGGAACACAAAGAAAGGCAAAAATAGTCCCTGCTTTCAAGGACTTTATGATCTAATGGGGGAGACAGATGCAAATAACTATGTAGAAACAAGAAATATAAAAAATAAATTGGAAATAATCTCAGAGGGGGACCTAGGAAAGGTTCTTGTAGAAGGTAGGATTTTAGCAGAGACTTGAAGAAAGACAGAGACAGAGAAAGAGAGACAGAGAGAGACAGAGAGAGACAGACAGAGAGAGAAAGAGAGGGAGAGGGAGAGAGATCTCTAAGTGCTCATTTATAGTAGTTGGGTGAGGTGGCACTACTACTGGGCAGCAGGAACAGGTGAATGTAAAGATACACTAATTGTCAGATAGACTTTTACCTCCAAAGGAGGCTTTGGCTCCCTGCAGAAGGGGGAAGTGAGCCGATGTTTTCTTCTTTCTTGCAAATGGCATCATTTACTTCCTGCCCTGAGATTGAGAATATGTACTATTTGTGGCCTGTGCTGTGGGAGGAAACCAGCTGTAACTTGAATGCCAGCATATGAAAGTCCATCTCTGCCAGTATTGCCAGACCTTCATTTTTTCGTGGGGCTGATGGTCGCACAAAAACCCAGCTGATGGGCTTTGGCTCCAGTCTTGTTACTGAGTGATGGGCAACCTGCCAGCAGGGAGGAATCATGGGATGTGGGAACTGGCAGGAACCTCAGAGATCATCTTGTCTGAGCCCCTCATTTTACAGGTGAGGAAACTGAGCCTCAGAGAGGTGAAGGGACTTGCTCAATGTTACATATATAGTAAATGGCAGGGGCAGGAATCTCACCCAGTCTCACCTTCTCTGATTTCAAATCCAATGCTCTTTTTGCTACAACATTGTGCAGGATGGGGGCTTGCGGATGGATCTGTGCAACTCCTTTCTACTCCTAGAAAAGCAATTCAAACAATCACATCTAGTGTGTGAAAACACTATATAAAAATAAAATTGTTAAAGGGTTTGTAAAAGGTCATGCAGCTATGTAAGGTAGAGCTAGGTCTCTTGACTTTTAGTTCAAGGCTTTAATCTGGTCTTTAGAAGAAGTTTAAAGTGGCCCCAAATATAAAGGTAAATGCATTTTGGGAGGACCAATAGCTACCTTCTTTCTAATTATTCATGGAAGACCTTGTGAAGGACATGAGTCTTTTTATGGGAGGCAGGTAAATTAGAACTGCTAAAACTGGAGCCTAAAACTGGGTGGTGCAGTGGATAGAGAGCTGGGCCTGAAGTCAGGAAGACTCATTTTCATGAGTTCACACCCAGACTCAAACACTTACTAGCTGTGTGACCCTGGGCAAGTCACTTAACCCTGCTTGCCTCAGTTTCCTCATCTGTAAAATAAGCTGGAGAAGGAAATGGAAAACCACTTCAGTATCTTTGCCAAGAAAACCACAAATGGTGTCATGAAAAGTTGGACACGATTGAAAAAAATGGCTGAACCACAAACCTGGAGCCTATGGCCCAGAGGGTGCCTCTTTAATCCTAATCCCCAAACCACTCAGCTCTAAATTTCTCCCTAAAACCATGTTTCTTTATTCGACCATTTTCCACATTTCCATACTGAGTTATCTTCCCCCTTCCCCTACCCACTCCCAGTCATCTGACAATTGTAATCAAATTAACATTGCCATTTGTTTCTAGAAAGGGTGTGTCAATTGAGTGCCCTATCGCTCCACTCCTCATCCCTGACCAAGACAGGTTTCCTTAGCCATCACTCCCCTTTATGTCTTATCTTCCCCCATTGAAATATAAACTCCTTAAAGGAAATCACTGTCATGATTTTGTATTTATATCCCCAGTGCTTAGTATGGTGCTTGGCCCATATAGTAATAATACTTTTTCATTCTTTCATTCATTCGTCCATTCAATCAATCGTTCAGGGGTAGTTTTAACCTTTGGGGCTTTTCCTCTTACTTTAAAGACTCAGAAGTGGATAATAGTTCCATTTCTCCTCCCCTTCCCCCCTTTACCACCCATTTGAAAACCAGCCACTTTAAAGGAGGAAGCCCAGAAAGAGTGATATACCATACCCAGAGGGATCCATGAGGCTGAAATGCCCCTCCCAAAATGATGTCTGCCAGCTTAAAGACTTGGGCCTATACCAGCTGCTTTCCTTAGGTATCTGTTAAAAGATGTTAAAAATACAAATCATCCCTTGTTAAAAAAAAAAATAGCCCAATAGAATACCACTTAGTGAAGCCACATCTGGACAATAGGTTGCTCTCTGTTAGGAAAAGGACCAGGCAGGAGGTGGGAGGGTTGGAATGCTTGGCTTCTGGAGCTGAGCTCACTTTAGAGACAAGGATGCAAACAAAGGGCTTGGGACTGAAATTCAGCCATAGCAATAGCCTCCAGTAGACACCTCCTCCTTTCATTCCAGACCTGTAAGAGCAACTATTTAACAAAGATGTGCCTGTCCACTGGTTGAAAAGGTTTAAAGTTTTCTCATCTTCGGAAGACTTCTCAAATATTGGCCTAGCATGGATCCAACCTTATTGGCTTTCAGGGAAGAAGAAGACTGTTACTGAGTAACTGAAAAGAACGGAACATAGTTTCCCTAGCCACCCTCAGGTTGGTGGTTCCCTGGTTTAAAAACATGGAAACTTGACTGGACCCAGCTTTGATTTAATCGATAGATATTTCTTTTTTTTTAAATTTTTTTAAAAAAATTTTTATTTTTTATTTATTTATTTATTTTTTCATAGATATTTCTTGAGCACCAAGAGTGTTCCTGGCCCTGAATGCTGGGTCACTGTCGGGGATGTGGACAAAGAATAGGGGAGGCAGCTTGGTGGGACACTGGATGGTGCAGCAGAATAAGTAGTAGGCCTGAAGTCAGAGAACCTGGGTTAGGATCTTGAATCTGGTATTTACTACTGGTTATGATTATGGTTGAGGCAGTAACTCCTCATCTGTTAAACAAGGGTATTAGACTAGATTGGGGATTTTTTAAACTGGGTCCATGAACCTTATTTTAAAAAAAAATTTGATAATGATATTTCAATATAGTTGTTTTATTTTATATTCCTATTTTATTTTTTAAATAAAAAATTTAAATCTAATTTATATTCCTATTTTATTTTTTAAAATATTTTAAATAAAAATATTAAAACATTATTATGCCAACAGGTCCATAGGCTTTGCCAGGCTGCTGGAGGACCTGTGACACAAAGATTAAGAACCTTGGACTAGACAATCTTTAAGGGCACCTCCCAACTCTAAAAGCCCATGTTTCTTTTAAGGTAGTCCTAGAGCCAACTCTAACATGTAAAATCATGAGTGGATAATATAAAATGACATATAATCAAGGGGTGGATTTTGTGTTATTGACTGTTAGTGGAAAATAAAGGGGGTCTGAGAAGGTAGAGACCACCGAGGACTGTAAGAGCGTGACAAATGTTTCCCTTCTTTTCAAAAAAAAAAAAAAAAAAAAAAGAAGGCTCTGGAAACCACAGACTAGGTAGCTTGATTTTGATCCCTGGTAAAATTTTAGAGCGGTTAATAATAGGATCTCACAATTATAGGGTACTACAGTTACTGTAAGCCTGAGGTAGGTAGCTGAAATAGTATTATTACCATTATGATTGTTAGGAAAAAACCTTCAAGTTTTTAGACCTAGACTTGTTTTGTGACAGGCTACCTTTAGTCACATCCTCTTTTCTTGCCTGGCATTTACTGCCTTTTTGGAAGTTTCTATGCATGGAAACTTTCATGTAAGAAACTTCTATCTTCAGTGCCCCAAGGTGCAACCTTGGTTCCTCCTTGCTTACTGACATCAGAGGGGGAAAACAATCAGATGTGACTGAGACTCTACTCCTACTCTCAAAACACATCCCCCTTTCTAATTCTCAAATTGCCCTGACACTGGACCCAATATTCCAAACTATCAATCAGTCAGTTGACAATCATTTATTAGGCACTTACAACCTGTGTTAGGCAGATGGGGCAGTTAGATGGCTCAGTGGATATAGTGTAGGGTCTGGAATCAGGAAGATTTGAATTCAAATCTGGTCTCAGACAATTACTAGCTGTGGGTTCCTGGGCAACTCGCTTAACCTTTGTTTGCCTTAATCCATTGGAGAAGGAAATGGTAAACCGTTCCAGTATCTTTGCCACGAAAACCCCATGGACAGTATGGTCCACGGGGTCATTAAGAGTTGGACAGAAGTGAATGATTGAACAATGACAACAATAAAATGCATCAGGCACTGTGCTAAGCATTGGAGATAAAAGAAGAAGAAAAATACACAGTCTCTGCCCATAAAGAGCAAGAAAAACTTGGTGTAAGGATTCTCCAAGCTCAAGAGGTGGTTGTGGGATTGGTTCTCATATGACCACTATGGATTTCCCCTTCTTACAGATGTCAGAAGGATTCTGGTTTGCTGTGTGTGTGTGTGTGTGTGTGTGTGTGTGTGTGTGTGAGAGAGAGAGAGAGTGTGTGTGTGTGTGTGTGTGTGTGTGTGTGTGTGTGTGGTGTGTGTGGTATATGATGCTTTTTGTCCATCTCTTGTTGCTGGCTGCCTTCCCCTTTATACTCCCAGCCTTGGGTATCTCCAGATGAGCCATATAATCTTTCCTTAAATGTCCCAAATAAAGGCTCATTGATTTCAGTATTGAATAGGTAATCTAATCCTTCTGAGAAACCCTGGTTTAAGATCCAAGGCTATTGCTATGGATTGGAATATCCATTTTATGGATGAAGAAACTGAGGCTCAGAGAAGTCAATAAATTGCCCATTTATTTGCCTCACACAGCAAGTAAATGGCTGAGGAGGGATCCAAACCCAGGTCCTCTGCCTCTTAGCCCAGTGCTCTTTCTACTACAGCAAAGTTTATATAACTCCTAAACTATGGATGTACTTTGTGTCTGTACTACACAATTTACCTCTTAAAAATTTTGTGTTCTTTTCCCATGTGTTTATGTTGTCTTCCCAATGAGAATATAAAGTTCGTGAGGTTAAAGTTCACATGCTTTAGCCTGATATTCAAAGCCCACCACAATCTAGTCCTATCTCACCTTACCAGTCTCATCTCCAGTTATTCTTTGATGTTGATATTTGATATTCTTTGCTCCTATCGAAATTTTCATTTTTTCTCTTCCAAGCTATGGTCATTTGTACCTCTATAATTTTGGTCATAATTCTACTTCTCTCAAGGCACCCTCTTTTCCCTTAGCTGATACAAAATCCTACAAATTCTCCAAGGTCCAAGTAAAGTCCTGCCTTCCTTATGAAGCTTTCTTAGACTGCTTCAGTACACATTTATCTCTCCCTTCTCTGAATTCCTATCTTACCTATTGCTAGTACCATACTCTTTAGCTCTTAATTGTTCTCCAAATTGCAGAATTTTAAGGTTAGATGGAACCTTAAATGCCACCGACTCCAAATGATAATTGTTTCACACGTGCTAGTTTTGTCTTCAAAGTTAGATGGTAAGCTCCTTGAAGAAACAGATTAAGTGTATTCTCTACCTGGGAGTATTCAGGAGGTTGGTTTTCAACTGGGGGGACTATTAACTGTCTCTGACCACTTGAAGTAAGGGGAAAAGCCCCAAGGATTAGCACAGGTCTGGGAAGGATCTAATTGTTGAATTAACTAATTATTGCCATGAAACAGTCAAATATTCAAATATCTATCCATCCAACTTGAGAGCAGAGACTGCCTTTTCCCTCTTTTTGTATCCCCAGTGCTTAGTACAGTGCCTGGCATGTTGTAGGTACATAATAAATGTTTGCTGATTGATTGATTGAAATGCCAATACAAGATAGCATGTGAGTAAATGGAGAGGCAATGTAGTACAGTGGACAGAAGGCCTGCCTTGGAGTCAGAAAGACCAGGATTTAGTTTTTGCCTATGACACATAAAAGTGGTATACCCCTAAACAAGTCACTTAATTTCTTAGTATCCCAGGAAACACTATAAGGCTATATATTACAGACAATTTGCCAAGCTACATCAGAGGAGGATTCTTCCACACTGTTAGTTCCTTACACCAATGAAATGACGAGTCCAGACCCCAAAATATGTTGATTAATTGCCAAAATTGGCAGTTTCTGATAGAAAAGGGGATACATTATAGAGTAGAGTTGGAGATGGAGAGGTTGAATAGACACTAGTTATATGATCTATCTATGCAAAATGAGGGGAGAAGATTGTCTTAATGGTCCCTGTAGTCCTTTCAAGTTCTAAATCTATGTTCTTATCTTGAACTAAAGCTCCTCTTGAGAGGAGGTTGTGAACATGCTGTATTCTGGACCCAGTGAGAGGACCTGCCTGGCTGGAGGAGATAGCATGTATTAGAGAGTTATGGGAAATTAGATTAGATAAGATACAGTGGACTAGGTTATATGAAGCCATGAAGACAGATACACTTTCTTTGCCATTTTTGAGTTCAACTCGTCTCATATTTGAGTGCTGACTCTTTGAGAACTTTTCTTGAGTCTTACACTCTGGCAGGGGTATAATTAGCTTGGAGTGAATAGGGTTTTGTTCCAGAATGCCAATGTCTTAGGGCAGGGAGATGAGGCAGGGCTCCCTCTGTGCATTGATCACTATCCTTATGCCTTGCCTCATGGTTATTTGCTATACCACATGTGGTTGGATTGCTGAAAGAAAGACACAGCCACTCTTGTGTCACTACTTCCTAAGTCCTGCAACCATGGCATCCTTTTTCCAGATCACATATTCCCTGTCCCCCCTCCACCAACTCCTAAGGATAGGAATGGGTTCTCTGCGGGGTAGGAGGGTAGAATGATTTTCTCCAAGCTTGACTGTAGCCATAGTTAGGCTCTTCTCAATTTCTCAACTCATCTTTTTTCTCAGTTGTATTTGCTTCAGGTGCCAAGATTCCTACTTACGCACACAGCACTGGCCAGAGGAGATAAGGTATATTAGAGAGTTATGAGAAATTAGATAAGACAAAGTAGACCAGATTACATAAGGCCTTGAATGCATATGCTTTCATTGCCATTTTTGAGCTCAGCACTTCTCATGTTTGAGAGTAAAAGTATGGACCTCCTGGTGGTGGTAGGAGCTGGTCCAGTAAAGGGGAAGTATTTTTAAACATGATTCAGTGGACCCAGGCCAGTGTGAGGCTGTGATGATCTGAGAAGCTGGTGCTAAC